AAGGGCCTTCCAAAGGTCAAGATTACTTCTGCCTAGAAAGAACTTCAGCCCACCCTCTATTGTGACCATGGAGATAAAGCATTGTAATTAATAGTAAGTGATCAGAGCAAAGGGGAGCGGTCGGGGACTTCCTGGAAGATTTTATCATATACTCAGGATGTATAGGAGAGCTATGCAATTCTTTCATAGTAGTAAATTGGGGAGTCAGAGGGGGGTCGCTTCCCAGTGAGGCTGCCTCAATTCTCTGGAGCAAATAGCAAGCAGCCTTGCTGACATGCTAACTGACCCAAGCTTTGTTCCAAGGTCGGGGAGTGCACAACAGTAGCCTTGCCAACGTGTTGATCCGACCGAAAGCGGAGCTCAAAGGTCTGGGGGCTCAGACAGATCCTGGGGCCTCACCGGGTCGGACTCCTCCAAAGAGGGAAGAGCACTCAGGATGGGTAGCTCTAATTTTTGACTATCATAAATTTAAACTTCCTTAATAAAAAACAAGGGGATCAACACAAGAGTCACAGTCTCTTATTATTGTAAGATCATAAAAGTTATCATTTCTTGTCACCTTTTCTCAGATTTTAATACCAAAAAAATAACAGGAATGTAATACTTGGTAGTCCTTGCCAAAAAAAGAAAAAAGATAGCTATAAACCTTCCGAGACATGTGTCTCTGTGTGGACACATACAGACGAGTTAGTATACATAGATATGTGTATCTTATAAGCATATCACATCACTTTCATTATTTCTCATTTCACTATGGACTGAGTAAACCAGCTTGGCAGTTGATTAAATATGGTAAACAAGGGAAAGGAAGGTCAAAAGTGATTATTAAATTTCTTTCTGGATGACTCATACAATGTGGATGCCATTTATAGAAAAAATATTCTTGAGAAAGATGGTTTTTAGAAAAATAATCTGTTCTACGCATATACAGAACTACAGAGATATGATTGCCTAGAATTACAGCACTGGGAGCTACCAAAGGAGGCTCTAGTTTAGTTTCTTTGGTGTGTAGGTGAGGTTGTCTAGGCTCACAGAGAGTCTGTGACTTGCTCAAGGTCATGCCAGTAGTTAGTGGTAGAATTTCTACTGTCATAATGCCGTGTAGTATTAACACACTGCTTAATAGTACCATTGTGAGACAGCTTACTTGCCATAGTTTGGGGAGCTTATGTAGGTATTCTTTTACTGGTTCAGTGTCTGAACTGCCATTACACTGGACTTATGTGCTGGAGAGACCCAAATGAGAAGACATGACCCTTGCTTACAAAGACTTTAGAGTTTTGTGTAAATAAATTGTTGCCATAAAATTGTGATAATTGGGGGCCAGCAGGTGGTGTGGTGGTTCAGGGCACTGGATTCCCACATTGCTGATCACAGTTCAAGTCCCAGCCCTGGCTGCTTGCTTCTTCTCTCTGTCTCTGTCCCTCTTTCTGTCCTTCTCTGGTCAAAATAAAATAAAATAAATGAAAAAGTTAATAAATTAAATCTAAAAATTCTTTTAAAAACTTGCAGTAATTGCTCCAATGGAGATATATACGGATGGGTTAAGGGCATTTGAGGAGGGGGGCTCCGGCTTATTAGGCTGTAAGGAAAGGGTTTACTCAGAATATAGCTTTGAAGCTGTCACTTGAAGCACATCTAGGAAGTTCCCAAGAGAGATGGTGAGATGCATCTTTCTAGATAGAAGAAAGAATGTGAGCAAAGGCCTAGAGGCCAGAGAAAGCTAGCATGTCTTGTAAACTTTACATATTTAGGTATTGCTGAAGCTTAAACTCCAAGAGTTGCCTGTGGAAGTGAGGGGGGCATGAGATGTCACTGCGTGAGTAGGCAGTACCTGCTACACCATGTGCTAGAATGCCAGGTTCATCCTGTAACTGATGATTGAAGCATTTTGTGCAGAGGATTGATACGATCAAATTCTCCTATACGAACAATCTTTCAAGGTAGTGTGGACGATAGGTTGGGGAATGATGGGTGGGTTTGGACGTGGGAATGAATCTAGCGTCAAGGAAATGGATAAGGAGCCTGTGGAAGTGGTCTGGGCACAAGAAGCTGAGGACTTGTAACTTTGTGGAATGAACATAGATTGGGATAGATTGGGACTCAGAGCCTGGCTTTGCCTCTTCCTACCTCTGTGGCCTCTGTTTTACCCACTCTGGGCCTTTCTCCTCATCTTGTAAATTGAGTAAATTAATATCTGCCTATAAGGAATTAGCATATGAAGAGAATTTAGTACAATACCTGGCACATCAAATACACTTTCAATATAGCTCTTGTGGTTGTAGTGTGATTATTAGTAATAATCTTGGAGATTGGCATGAGATTAAAGGATAGGGTTGGCAGAGACATTTAGGAAAGAACTGAAAGGCAATAACTGACTAGATGTTTGGGATAAGTGAGAGGAAAGAGTTGTGGAAACCTCCCAGGTGTGTGGCTGGAGAAAAAGTATATGAGGTGAGAGTATGGAAACGGGAATGAGAAAGACATTGAGTTAGAAGAACTTAAGGGCCATTGGTTGGCAGTGTGGGCATGTGGGTCATGAGTCAGTAATTGACAAGGGTAGGTCAGTGATACAGGAAGATTCTGTTGAGTGAGCGTGGAAGGCACTCAGGACAGAACTGCAATGAATACCACATTTTAAGGGGCAGATGAGAAAAAGGAGCCCAAGGAGGAGAGTACAGAGAGCCAGAAGCAGGAGAAGAGATGCCTTGGATGCCAAGTTAAGAAAGCAGTTCAAGAAGAGGGTGATCAGCCATGTCAAATGCTGCAGACAGGTTAGGTGCGTAATATGAGAGGTGGAACATTCCCGTTGGATTTGGTTATTTACTAATCAGAGCAGCGGATGGAGTATATGGGAGGTGGAAACAGCGAGTGTAGATTTGCTCACTGAAGACAACTCAAAGAGGAGAGAGACATAGGGTGGTAGTAAGGGGTAAAGGGAGGGCTAAGGTAGGGTTTGGGGTTTCATTTTGGGGTTTTCTTCCGTTTTTTAAAGATGGGGAAGATGTGTTTATGTGATGAAGAGAAGGGGCCAATGAGGCAATTTAAGGAAAGTAAGGTGTTATATGTAGCAAAGCTTAGCAAAGGAGGAAGCAGGAGGAGAGGAAATGGAGGCTAGCAAAGTCTCTTTGAAGTGGAGAAACACTTCCATGAGACATTGCATGGTAAATGGAGGCCATGGTATGTTTGAAATCTTGTCTTCATGCAGTAACTAGAACTACATAGTTAAATTATTTACCTCATACTCACAGACCTGTATCTCCTGTGGAAAATTCTGATACCTTTTTTCCTATGCTTATCTTTTAGTTGAGGATCCTCTCTGTAACTTCCACTCCCCGAACTTCCCAAGGATCTCAGAGGTGGAAATGAGAGGTTCCGAGGATGCGGCAGCTGGAACAGTGTTGCAGCGGCTGATCCAGGAACAACTACGGTATGGTACTCCGACTGAGAACATGAACTTGCTGGCCATTCAGCACCAGGCCGCAGGGAGTGCAGGACCAGCCCACCCTACAAACACCTTTTCTTCCACGGAAAACCTCACTCAAGAAGACCCACAAATGGTCTACCAGTCGGCACGTCAGGAACCGCAGGGTCAAGAACATCAGGTGGACAACGCGGTGATGGAGAAACAGGTCCGGTCCACGCAGCCTCAGCAGAACAATGAGGAGCTGCCCACTTATGAGGAGGCCAAAGCCCAGTCACAGTTCTTCAGGGGACAGCAGCAGCAGCAGCAGCAGCAGCAGCAGCAGCCGGGGGGTGTGGGGCACGGCT